ATTGCTGGACATATTCCGGGAACACTGTGAGGGGATCCAGAGCACTGGGGACTTTTCAGTGGGACGTAAATTCAGAAATGTATGCCGGGGCCGGATGAAGAAGGAACTTAAATGCCAGGCTGCGGAGGCTGGGCTGCAGTTGTGTGGACGGTGGATAGCTAAGGTCAGAACCACTGCTAGCAACCCTTCTCTTGAGTCATGAGCCGTTGGAGCTGGAAGGGACCAGACGTCCAGTCCAACCTCTTCCTTTTTCTGAGGCCCAGAAAGCAGAAGGACCTGGGCTAGAACTCAATCACCCTATTCAGCATGCCTCCTAACTTCCACATTCCCTACTTGGAAGGCCACGACTTGAGAAGGTGCCTCAAAGATCCTCCTTCTCTTAAAACAAAAACACAACCCCACTCATGGGCTAAAAAGAATTATTGCCAAACAAACAAAAAGATGGCAAACCTCACTCATAATTTTTGAAAATGCAAATCAAAACAACAAGATAGAATTTTTCATCTAACAGACTGGGTCAGCAAAGTTTGGTAATGCCCAGGGTTGGTGAGGGTGTGGTGCTTCAGACTCTCTGATATCCTGTTGGTTGGAACCCAAAATATGGGGCAACCTTTTTGAAAACAACTTGGTAAAATCTATAAACATTACAACTTTGCATGCCTTTTTCACGGAAGTTCCAATTCTGGGATTTACCCAACAGCCATACCTGTCAAGTGTGCAAAGTGTATAGTTAGGGGGATGTTTACTGCAGGAAGTTTATGATTGTGAAAAACTGGGGAGAAAAATCCTAATTGCTCACCCATAGGGTCTCATTGTCACCCATCAATACAGAGAAATAATACGTAGTTATTTTTTTTTTAAAAGGCAGTAGATGTGTATATGCTCACATGGAAAATGTTTGAGACATAAGATACAGAAGCAAGCACACTGAGAAGGGCTGTGCACAGTGTGAATCCCATTTGTGTAAGAAAATAAAACATATGTATGCTTGCAGACACATAAGCATTATCTAGGAAGAGATACAAAAACTTCACAGTGATGATCTCTGGGGGAGAGGGAAAGGGTGAAGAGGGACTCTGTGCTCTAAACTCTCCATGTTACTTAAATTTTCTCTTTTCCATTTTTTTTTGTTCCTTTACATCTTTTCTTTTTTCCTTTAAAAAAAAAAAAACAATGACCATGCATGATTTTTATAACCTAAAAAAATAGTAAAAAACATAAAGGTATTGCCAATAGCTAGATGGATCACTCACAGATCTGGATCTTAACTTCTGTTTTAGAGAACTCTCAGAGACAAGCTCAATAAGCCTGTATGAACATTTACAAAAGAGACCCAATGTTTTTATTAATATATCTAAGGTCTAGCAACCTCGGGCCCTTACTGTTCCTGTTTTGGGTTCTATGATTTGATATTTATTCATCCGTCCCATATTTATTTTGTGCCTACCATGTACCAGGCAGTGGGACTGAAGCATGGGGCCATTAGTCTTTGTAACACGAAGGCCGCTTAGATCCATCGCAGACATGGTCCAGAAGGGAAGAGAGGCAGACCAATGCCTGTAAAGGATGGTACCCATTCAGTGAACACTAAGAAATATTTTCTATGTGTATCCCATGAGGCCAGGGACATTCAAACCAAAGCAATACAATACAACCCCTGCCCTCTCATGAAGAGCCCCCACCATGGTGGGAAAAATCACGTATTACAAACAGAATGTGTAAGTGTGATGCGGTGAGGCTTGGAGGATGGCGGGTGTGCCCAGGACACTTGATCCAGCCTAGGAGGTCAGGGAGGACCCCTGCAGCAATGGGGAGTCCCAGATGAGCCTGGAAGGTTGAGTCTGGAAGGTGGGCCAGCTGGGAAGTGGAGGAGCAGGGAATTGGGGGCAAGGGTGGTTCTCAGTGCTGAGTAGGACCGGAAGGAGCAGAAGAGCAAAATGGCAGGTTGAGCTATTTATCTGCTCACCCAGGAGTTGAACTTTATCTGGAGTGCACCAGAGTGACAGAATCTCAAATGTGTGCTTTATAAAGTTCAGCCTGGCCAGAGCTGCAGCTGCAATAGAGGAAGAAGAGAAAAGTCAAGGTAGAGACAGGGTCCCACTGTGAGTCGCTTCAATCAGGGCAACGCTGATGATGTCCTTGTACTCTTATTAATATTTTCATTAAATGATCTAGTGAATCCTTAAAGGAGTTCCTTAATGAAACTAGTGAATAAGAAAAGAAGGACACAGGGCACCTGGGTGGCTTAGTGGGTTAAAGCCTCTGCCTTCGGTTCAGGACATGATTCCTGTGTCCTGGGATAGAGCCCCGCATTGGGCTCTCTGCTCTCAGTGGGGAGCCTGCTTACCCCACCCCCTGCCTGCCTCTCCGCCTACTTGTGATCTCTGTCTGTCAAATAAATAAATAAAATCTTAAAAAAAAAAAAAAGGACAGGTTCCATGGTCCAGTGTTGGACCCAGGATTAGGGGATGGAAATGGGAAATGGCAGAGAGGGGACAGTGAGAAGGGTCTGTGGGTGCTGATTCAGGGCCCAAGGGGCCCAGAGAACAGGGAGTGGGAAACTGGCAGGGATTGCTGAGGGACTGCGGGTGCTGAACGAAGTCCCTGCGGTGCTCCATGGCGCTAAATCCTCTCTTACCAGACGTCCAGGCAGCACGGGCCCCAGCCGACAGGCGCCCCCCCCCGCCCCGTCTCACTTTCTCTACTCAGTTCCTGTGCCTCTATTCTCCTCCAGCCTCAGTGGTCTCCCCCCTGCTGCTGGATCCCCTTCTTCCCAGCCTTTCTGTGTTGGGGGCTCCAAGACCCTGTGTCGGTCCCATTCTCTCCTCCCTCACCGCAATGGAGAGTCATCTTTTCTCCAGGCCTTCAAGACCATCTTTGTGCCGACAACTCCCTGAAGCCCCTTTGTCCCTGGTCCCCCCACTCACATCCAACCTGGTCCCTGGTCCCCACACTCACATCCAACCTACTGATGTGTCTGTTTGGAGTGCTAATGAACATCTTGAATTCATGTCCAAAATGGGACTCCTGACCTCCCCCAGACTTATGTCTGCTATCTTCCCCATCTTGGTGATGGCTAACCATTCCTTCCGGGTTTTACCTTCGATAGCTCTTTTTTTTTTTTTTTTTTTTTTAGATTTTATTTATTCAACAGACAGAAATCACAAGTGGGCAGAGAGGCAGGCAGAGAGAGAGAAGGGGAAGCAGGCTCCCTACCGAGCAGAGAGCCCGATGCGGGACTGGATCCCAGGAGCCTGAGATCATGACCTGAGCCGAAAGCAGAGGCTTAACCCACTGAGCCACCCAGGTGTCCCTCGATAGCTATCTTGGAATGGCTTTTTTCTCGTACTTTATATCCAATTTTCAGTAAATCCTCCTGGCTTTATCTTCAGAGTAAAGCCAGCCACGTCTCACTCCACCACCCGAGGCCACGCTACTGTTCACTGTGGTCTGGGCTCACTGCCCCCACCTTTGTGCCCTTACCACCCAGACGATTTAAAGACGGGCTCTACTCCAAACCCTCCATCTTACTCTGCAAAAACTGAAGTGGGCACAAAAACCTGCGTCTCCCGTCCTCCCTCTTTGTCCCCCTCTGGTCATCCGGGTCTCCTACGGTCCCTGTTCACAACTGACGCAAAGGTGTGCCTCTGCCTGTCCCCTCCTCCCCCACTTCCTCGCAGGCCTTTCCTCCTCAAGCCTTCCAGCCCCGGCTCCAGCCCGCGCTCTCCGGCGGGCCGCTGGGCTCTTCCTCCTGCAGGGCCCGCCGCTCTCCACCGCACCGTGTAATTCACTCTTCCTGTTCATTGTCTGTTGCCCCCTAGGACGCGGCAGGCAGGCAGGGAAACTGGCTCACTATCTCCAGCATCTGGAACAATGCCGGCACACAGGAGTTCTCGGTGTGTATTTGTTGAAGCAGCGAGCAGACCCCAGAGAGGAGCTTCAGCTCAGAAGGACGGTTTGGGCCAGGGGTGGGGTGGGGATGAATGGCCGCGGGGCGTAGGCACAGACGCTGCTGGAGTAGGTAGGGCGGCTCGAAGGCTCGGCAGCGGGGCTGAGACGGAGCCCACGGAAGGAGCTGGGGGTGAGGGGAGTGAAGGGCGAAGGCGCTGAAGCCCCGACGGGGGTCCTGAAAGAAGGGGTGCGCGGGGACTCGAGCTGGGAGACTGGCGGGGGCCGGCAGGGAGGTGGGCGCAGAAGAGGGGACCGGCCGGGCAGGCAGTGGGGACCAGGCAGCTAGGGCTGGAGGCAGGTCCCCAGGCCGGCCGCACGAGGGGAAACAGCGGTTGCCCGTGACTGTCACGCAGCGGCCAACGTGAGACGGACGCGCAGAAGGTTCTAACGCCGGACAGTGCCGTGGGCTCCGCGAGGAAGCAGCCAACCGAGCTTTCTCAGGTAAAAGCCAGAGCCTCATAAATAACGCGGACGCGGACTGAGAGGCGGCACGAGGGCGGGGCGCGTCACAGACCCGGGCAGGGAAGGTGCCCGAGGCGGCCGAGCGGCGGCCCACGGCCCCGGAGGCTCCGTCACTGAAGCGGGGTGGGCTTCGGTGGGCCAGCGGGGAAGGAAGGACCCGGCCCCGAGGCCCGAGAGGGCGGCGCCGAGACATGGCCCGTCCCTCAGGCGAGCGGCCAAGGGCTGCGACGGCGGCCCAGGGCGGTGGGCGCGCGGAGGCCGGCGGAGCGGCGGGAGGTGCGCGCCGGGAGCAGCGCGGCCACGCCAGTCCCCGCCGGAGGCAGGCCGACAGCGCGGGGCGCGCCGCACCGACGCGGCCACGCGGAGCCGCGGCCCCCGCCCCGGCGCCCCGCAGGCCGGCCAATCAGGCGGCGCCGTTGGCCGCCCGGCCCCGAGGCCCCGCCCCGGCCCGGCGCGCCGCCAGCCAATGGGCGGTCGAGCCCGGGCGTCCAGAGCGCGCAGCCCGCGCCGAGCCGGCTCAGAGCGAGAAAAGCGAACCCAACCCGTCGGGGCCGCCGCTCCGGACCCGCCGCCGCCGCCGCCGCCGCCGCCGCCGCTGCCGCCGCCTCCTCCTCCCCCCCGGATCGGGTGTACTGTCCCAACCCGAAAGTCCAGTTCTGCGGCCCGGCAGCGGCGAGCAAGCGCGATGACACAGGAGTACGACAAGTGAGTGAGGCGCCGGCGCGCGAGTCCGGTCGTGCGGCTTCAGGCCGCCGCTGCGCGCCGGGCTAGCCGCACCTGCCGCGGGCCGGGGAGAGGCGAGGCCGGACGAGCTGGGGTGCTAGGCCGGGCGCGAGGCGCGGGGCGGGGACGGGAACGCGAAGCGCGCAGGGAGGGCGGGGGGCGCGCGTCACACGGTCCGCTTTCTACCCCGCCGCGGCCTCTGCCCTCGGCACCCCCTCCCCCGCCCTTTGTTCCACCGAAGTCCCCGAGGCAGACCCTTGCCTTGGGGACTCAGTTCCGGAGGGGACACCTCCCTCCTCGCCCCCCCTCCGCCTCAGCGGCCTCGTCGGGGGGGACCACCCCGCGGGCGCACCCCCATCTCGGCTCTGCTGCTGGCAGGGGTGCGGGGAGGGAGACTCGGGGCGCCGCGCCGCGCGGGGCCCCCCTCGGGGTCGCTTTTGCTCAGGGGGGCCAGCGGAGCTCTTGGGGACAGGCTCCCCCGCTGGGAGGGTAGACGTCTCGGGTAATCAGCCCGTCGTCGTCCAGCCCTCTCCTCCAGTCCGCCTGCCAGAACTCCAGGAAGGAGAAATTTAGGGAGAAGTTGAAGTGCTCTGCTGTCCTGGCATTTTTCCCCGCTGGCTGGCTGTGTGAGTGAGAAAATTGTTGTAGGAGTTACTTTGCCCCTTGCATCATTGATGGTAATTACAGATTACTGTAATTAAAAATCCTCAGAACATATCAAGAGGATGAAATCTTGGAAATCTGGGTGATAAACAGAACGTATCGTACTAGTACTCCTTTTGGAGTTTGTGATCAAAGAAATATTTTTGACAAATGCAAGGTGGTGACGCAAGATGTTAACTTTGAGGGACACGGGGGCGGGGAGGGGGGGAGGGATACTTCAGTGTTTTCTTTGCACCTTTTCTGTAAGTGTGAAATTGTTCTGAAACAAAATATTTATTAGGAAAAAAGTAAATCGCACCAAACCCAACCATCTACGGCAGATCAGTAAATCCAGATCAGAGATATTCCATTCCAGTTTTATAATTATTTGTTAAGGACCATTTTATTTAAGTATGCTCTTTTTCTGATTGGGAAGGTTAGATGTTGTGTAGGGGATATCTCAAATGGATTAATCTTGGGTTGTGGAATGTGCAGTTAAATTAATCACTTGAAGTATGTTTCAGAAGTCTTTCGAGAGATCACTAATGAAGAGTTTAAGACTTAACCAAAGGCAGTGATGGGCCTTTAGGGACGAGCAACTGCCTGACTGTCATATGAGGAAGTAGACCCAAGTCAGGCAACTGGTGACTGTTTATTTCTTGACTTATGGTTTAGATAAGGCAAATTTCCAAAGCTAAAATTTTGGCCCTAGGCGCACTTTGGAAATGCAAGACACCTCTAGGGTGATCCCAAACAAAACCATTTGCAAAAAATATTTTCTGTTGCCTATACAAATTTGGGATGGGGGTGGGAGAAGGAGGGAAGCTGAAAAACTAGCATTACTGGAATTGAATGAGCCAAGTGCTGTCATAATCTTCTGGAAGTAGCTATTACACTATTAATAATAGCTTAGCAGCGCACCAGTAAATCACCCCAAGATACCACTGATTCAGTGGCTGTTATACTCTTCTCCTAATAGGGTAGAGAATGCCTTTTTGTGCGTTTATTTATTTATTGTGAGTTTGAGATTTGTACACGCAGCCTTCACTTTTAAATAAACATCATTGTGTTTGTTTTGTGTTAGAATAGTATACCCCCCTCAAAACTGCCTTGCCTAGTAAATGTAACCAGTATTTGGATTTTATGCCTAGACATGAGTTTAAAACATTGGCTTTGAAATAAGACCGAATTTTGAGGATAAATTCAGCTGTTGGCCCATGTTCCCACCCTTTTTCAAAGATGTTCTCCTTTTTAAAAATCTGGATCTCTTTCTAAAGGGCCTGCCTGCCAAAACCCTAACCTTTGTTGATTACTTGAAAAGATAATCAATCTCTCTACATTCACTTTTAGAGTAGGTAGGTCACCTTTAGGCCATTTACATATTTCATTTATGTGTTGCAATGAGAGCTGATCCTTAAATTTGCTTGTTAGAATACTGATAATTGAGTGGTTTTAAACATTAACAATTTTTTTTCCCTTAAAAAAAAACCGACAACTTCATTTTGCTGGAGTTTGTGTTCCGCTTTTTCTCCTTATTGACTTGTTAAATAGTACCAACTGAAAAGTTGTTGAGACTGTTGACATTTCAAGTTTTTGGAATCAGTAATGTTTGTTTTAATCTTTAAAACTGAATCTTCTGTAAGACTTTACTAAGATCTCTGTTGATTTTTCTAGATTTTTCCCACCCAACTACAGTGTTAAAATGAAACCCTTCTTGCCCAGTGTGAAAATCTAGTAAAGAGTTTTAAAAACAGATTTCCCACCTATTTTCTTAAAAAGCTCTTTTTGTTCAGTGGCCTTATTTATTGTTGTAGATTCTTAAGTGTTTATCTCTAAGATAAACAGTTAACTCCCATGCCAGAAAATTATGCCTCCTTATTGATTTACAGTCCCCTTTGGCCACATTCCATGCTCAATCTGGTGGTAATCAGTAGAATATTCTAACTTTCTCATATACCCCCGAGGATTAAACGAAGTCGCTCTTTTCTTTCCGCCCCCTCCTCTTCTCTCCCTGGTTTGTGGGTAGGAGAGTTTTTAACGCCTGGTATCAACAGGAGAAAGAGGAAAGTAACATGTAGCAGCACGATGCTTGAACCGGGTCTGCTCTCTTTAAGAGGGTACAGTCCTGACTGCAGATGTCTGAGGAGAATGAATGTTCTGTTTTGCCTCACTTTGTCCTTGTGTTTGTTTGCTTAGGTATTTGAATAGCCTGGCATTTTCTTGGAGTGTTTTGTTTTGTTTTGCCAAATTATATATCCTGGGTCACGTGTGCAGGTTAACTGCACGTTCCCTGGCTCCCCAGTCCCGTATATCTTACCCGGGGGCCCCGTCGGTGTGCGTTCAGGTGGCTTGTCTCCTGGTCTCGCCTCGGTGCCCTTTGCTGGGGTGGGTTATTGGGCTCTTTTACTGGAATATCAAGGAATTGATTGTTTGGGTCTTTTAAAAATTAGCTTATGGTGCCTTGCAGTGAAAAGTATGAGATCTAGCCGTATGTGTGTTTTTAATCCCTCCAAAGCAAACGGCCAGTCTTGGTTCTCCAGAATGAAGCCCTTTATCCACAGCGGCGCCCCTACACTAGCGAGGACGAAGCCTGGAAGTCTTTCCTGGAGAACCCTCTCACCGCGGCAACCAAGGCGATGATGAGCATCAACGGAGACGAAGACAGTGCGGCCGCCCTGGGCTTGCTCTATGACTATTACAAGGTAGCTGTGCCTCCTCTTTCAAAAACCTAACAACAGTCCGAGATGCACTTGATTCAACAGCATATAAAACAGTAATTTGCTGGTAGAATGTAAAGCAAGTTGCTTCTCTAGTGACTATAAATAGTTTAATGAGTGCTTTGACTTACTGTGGTTCAAAGCCGAAAATCTACGATCATAGAATCAAAGGGTTGTTTTTAAAATGGGTGAAGTAGCCAGCTGCTCTAGCTCGATCTGGAGGGTGAAGCTACCAGAAAAGAAGACGGGAAATGTGTTTTACTGAGACGGAACGTTTTACCAAAGGGACTTCTTAGTGCCCCGAAGAGTAGACAGTGGTTCATTTCCCTGCGCTCTAACCTTTACTCTGATGTGGTCAGAATGATTTCCTCACCTTACGTGATATCACAGGGCCTTTGATTTGAGTGAAGGATTCATGAAGGAAAGCTGTTCTTCTAGTCTTGGACTTTCTACTTCTAAGATCAGAATATGTTCTGTTTCTATTTCAATACATTAGTCTTAATTAAATAGAATCTGTTATGTGCTTGGAGTTTTGTGTGATGTTTGTATCTGAAGATCTGTGTCCTCGTCACTGGTCACCACTTACTAGTTTCTTCTGTCACGCTAAGCATGTTACTGCCATGCGTGTTATTTCTGATCTCTCCAGAAAGCCTGCAAAATATGTGGTATGACTGCTGTTTTGCAAATAGGAAAAAATTAAGTTCTCAGGTCACACAACTAGCACGTGTTGCAGCCGGGATTTGAGGCCTGGTCTGGATTATGCCAAAGTCATCCTCTTCGGCGTGCCGTGCTGTCTCCATGGAATGTCCTTTGCTTGCTAGACTCTTTGGCATTCTTTCTGCTCGAGAGTACTATGTGGTGATGGCTCTATATCACAGTTGATTTTTGCCATATTTTTGTTTTTAAAACTCCCAGACATATAGAAAACTTCAACTTAATCAGATGATTAACTCTCAAATACTTTCACCTGGATTCACCAGTTGCTTGTGGTGTATTACATTCTGGCATTGTATTCTTTCCTGAATATGAGAAATGCAGAGGGCGGAGGTGCCTGGGTCGCTCAGTCGGTTAAGCAGCTGCCTTCAGCTCAAGTCATGATCTCAGGGTTCTGAGATCCAGCTTCCTGTGGGGCCCCCTGCTTGGCGGGAAGTCTGTTTCTCCCTCTCCCTCTGCCTGCAACTCCCTGTGCTTGTGCTCTCACTCTTTCCTTGTGTGTCTATGTGTGTGTGTGTGTGTGTCTGTTAAATAAATAAATAAACTCTTTAAAAAAATGCAGAGGGAAAAAAACAAAGAAGATGGCTTGATTATGATTACCAAATTAGGGTGGGACCTAAACAAAAGATTTCATTATTTTCTGGTCTGAGGCCATGGATCCAGCTTGTTGTGATTGAGAGACGGGGGTAAGTTTTTTTTTTTTTTTTTTTTTTTCCTTTGAATATGAAGGGAAACTTGTGTAGTAACTAATGATGCTAGGAGATCTCTTTGCCTGAAAAGTAGAGCCGAAGAATTCCTTCGAAGTGGAACTTATGATAAATCTCTTCTTCTCGAGTCCTGTTTTCTTGACTCAGTGTAAAAATCGCAAGTTCCTAAGTATTAATTATGAAGTTTTAAGTGCGTCTTTTTAACTGAAACTTTTTGAAAATGGGAGAAAACAAATAAGTTCAGTGCCAGAAAGACTGATGTAATGATACTGATTGCAGGGGTTTTATGTGTATGTATTTTAAGTAAAGGGTCCTAAAAGTATTTTACATCTTAGGAGGAGATCAGTCATTATGTCTGTCCATTGGGGTGACAGTCTGAGTACTAATATGTCAGGTTTCTTATGACAGGTGTAGCGTTCTTTTCTTTTTTAAATGAACTGATTTGTTTCAGTTCTTTGGATATAACCATCTGTCGTTTTTACACAATAACTGTTTAAGTAGACTCCACTCCCAGTGTGGAGCCTGACCCGGGGCTTGAACTCACAACGCTGAGATCAAGACCTGAGCTGAGATCAAGAGTCAGATGCTTAACCGACTCAGCCACCCAGGCGCCCTCTTCGATGAAGATTTAAATAACTTCAGTGAAGATTTAAAAACACATTTGTTAACACATGAAATAATTTGTTTTGTGTTTAAAGGTAAATATAGCCATACGTTCACATTGGAAATAGTTTCAAACATTTAGCAATTTTGGAGCACATGTTTGGAATTGCTCTCCAGCGGGTTGATGTCTAGGGTACACATGTATAATGTTAGCCTCTTTTCATCTCCTGCATAAAGAAGAACAGAATCAAGAAAAGCATAGAACAAACGGAGTTCGATTTGTCCTCTGGGTACCAGATAATGTGAATCCCAGAGCATTTGAAGAAATTTATCACCTGAGTGATAGTGTGGCTGAGCCTTTCGACTGTGCGTTTGATCTGAAAGGAAGGGCAACGGAAAGGCAAGAACACTGGGAGTCCGGTTGTGTTTTCAGTAGCTTCTTTATTCCGTAGTGTAGATAAACGGTAAAACCAAGCCAGAGATATTTTTTTTAAGCGATGAAACCCAAACTCAATGACAGAGTGAATTCGTGATGCCCTGGGTTTATTTGGCAACGAAGGAATCGTCAGTTTTTACATGTTAACCTCGTGACAAGATTTGTAAGCTCTTGAGGGCAGACACCGTCTCACTCGTCGCATATCCCCACAGCCCGGCATTTGGCAGGTGATCAAGTAGACTTATCAGTGGTTGAACTTCACTGAAAAGAGGCTGTATCTGTATTTCACTAAGTGAGAACTAAATTGTGTCGTGTTTGTTAATATCTAAGGTTCCAAGAGAGAGGAGGTCATCAACAGCAAAGCCAGACGTCGAGCCCCCAGAGCCAGATCACAGCAAAAGGTAATGTCTCATAGAAAGCGTGAAATGGTACTGTATTGTATTTTCACGGGTTTCTGCCGAAAATAAAGCGGGAGTTCAAATGAAAAAGCTTTAGTGGAAGAGATAGGTGGTAATTTTGATTCTGTTGTTCTGAGAAGTTGCCAGTTTCTTTACACATACTTGCCTTTTCTGCATGCTTGCTTCACCTGTGGAGGGATGTTTTTAGTAATGATGTAAGTGAACTGTTCCCTTATTTGTCTGAGTTTCTCTTAAGACGTGTGTGGTATTTAATGCAAAGGTGGGGGTCCTTTAAAAAAGATTATGTACCAATGATCTTGAATAGTGGCCTGAGTAAAACTTAATGAAGCAGCTCCTGTCGAAGTTATTTTAGGTTATTTAGGTTAAAACTTTCAGAACGTTAAGGCTTGACTTTATAGCCGTGAAAACTAATTTACATACAACTTGTAAATTTCCCTGTGCTCTATTAGAAAAAGAAATAAATAGATATATATTTATTTATTTGTATTATTTATTTATTTGTCTGTTTATTTATTTATTTATTTATTTAGAAAGCGCGAGAAGGGTGGGGCAGAGGGAGAGAGAATCATAAGCAGACTCCACACCTAGCTTGGAGCCCGATAAGGGCTCAATATCATAATCGTGAGATCATGACCTGAGCCGAAATCAAGAGTCAGACGCATCACTGACTAAGCCTCGTAAGGCACCCCAGGAGTAAAATATTTTTAAAGAAAGAATAATCACTCAGAATCCCACTGTCTCTATGATTTCTTTATTTACTGTTCGGGTATGCGTGCACATTCTATGTGGTTGTGGTTGTATTTGCACACCGCATTTGGTAGGTTCTACTTTCCATAAGTGTTTTCCATGTTGCTAATTTAATCTTGAGAATTACCCTTTGGAGAAGATCTTAAGGGTTTTTTTTTTTTACTGTTAATTTTTATTATGGATATTTTCAAATAACAAAAGTAGAGAAATAATATATGATTACTAGCTTCAGCAGTTACTAACGTAATTCCTCCTGTTTGATCTGCTCTTCCCTTTTCTCCGACTTTTAAATTCATTGTTTATTTAATTTTGGTATAGTTTTTTTTTTTTTAAGATTTTATTTATTTATTTGACAGAGATCACAAGTAGGCAGAGAGGCAGGCAGAGAGAGAGAGAAGGGGAAGCAGGCTCCCCACTGAGCAGAGAGCCTGATGCGGGGCTCAATCCCAGGACCCCGGGACCATGACCTGAGCCGAAGGCAGAGGCTTAACCCACTGAGCCACCCAGGTGCCCCTAATTTTGGTATCGTTTTTAAGCAAAACTTAGTTATCCTGACATTAAGGCTCTGTAATTTTTTTTTTTCTCCTAGTACAAAGCCTTGAAAAACCACTTTCTAGATAGCTTTTTCCTTTTTTTTTCTTTCATTAGGAAATTCTTGGGAGCGAATTTATGGTTCAAGTTTTGAACATTTTATTGATCTGAAATGTCCAGAACTGCCAAGTTGCTTTATTTCTTAAAGGTATCAGCATATATTGTTTGAGGGGGCTTTGGAAAAATCACTAACTTCGCCCTGGACTAAAAGTCATCTTCTGTTGCCCAGGATATTTATTAAACCAAAAGTAATTTTATGCAAGTATAGCAACCTGTACAACGTAACCATTGGTTTTCTTTTGGTGTAGAGAAAGCCAGATAAGTGTAGGTCCTAGGAAACGTGGTGGCCAAGGGAGATAACTGTTCATACTTCTCAAACCTTTGTGCACCAGGCATCATCATACACATTTCAGCGCCTTGTCTCATTTCATCCTTGTCACAACCTTGTGAGGACAGAAAGATAGATAGCATTACTACCCTCACCTTATAGACAAGCACATACTTACTAAGAGATGAGATAACGTCCCACTGGTCACAGAATTTGAACCAGGGCGGAATGACTCTAGAGTCTGTGCTTGAAGCACCGTACTGCTCTAGCCGGTTACGTTAGTAGCTTCTGGCTTCTAGTGAAATATGACCACTGTATTAGGATTCTTGCAAATAAAGTGTAGTAGAGGAGAGCTCTGAGTTCTCTAGATTTCAAGTGAAATTTTACTTGATGCTTTTGGATTTTATGACTGATTAACGATGAAATCTTTTTTTCTTGCTCTAGTAATGGGTTTTCATTGCCATTTTCTATTTATTTGATTTCTCCCAAACGTATTATTATTATTATTATTATTATTACTATTGCAAAGGACCCAATAGCCCATTGCTATTAGGAAAATAAAAATTGTCAAAGAACTGTATCAACATTGAGTTTGAAAACAGAGTTTTCTTTTCTTTTCTTAAAGAAACAGCATACCAAATGTGACTGAGCAGTCCCTCATTTCTGCTGGAGAAAACAGAGTGCAAGTACTGAAAAATGTGCCATTTAACATTGTCCTACCCCATGGCAACCAACTGGGCATTGATAAGAGAGGCCATCTAACAGCTCCTGATACAACAGTCACCGTCTCCATAGCAACAATGCCTACCCACTCCATCAAGACAGAAACCCAGCCCCATGGCTTTGCTGTGGGAATCTCTCCGGCAGTATATCATCCTGAGCCCACTGAGCGGGTGGTGGTTTTCGACCGGAACCTTAATGGTGACCAGTTCAGCTCTGGTGCTCAACCCCCAAATGCTCAAAGGAGAACTCCAGACTCTACCTTCTCAGAGACCTTCAAGGAAGGCGTTCAGGAGGTACAGGAAATGCAAGCATCTTCCTAAGACGTTTGTGTGTTTGTATAAGTATTGGGTTCCACCTCTTCCTTGTTATGCAAGCTTGAAACTCAGCCTGAAATGAATGGATTAGGAACAAAAGACTTTCTTTTTTACGAGAAAAGGCCAATGGGTATAATTTGTAAACTAAACCTACAAAACCAGAAATTATTATCAAGGGCACATGGCTAATCTTACCAGCATTTGAGTTAACAATTATGATTTCAGCTAAGTGATTTTGTCGGAGAAAGAAAACCCCATATGTAATCTTCCATCAACAATAGATATCTCCACAGAAGTCTGTTTTCAGCTCTTGCCCTAGACCAGAACAAGATTCCTGCAATTGGTCTCAATATAAAATGATTTCTCATGGATTTTCTGGGTCTCTCTCGGTTGGTAGTAGAGTCAGGGAGGCAGTAGATGTTGGTGAGGCATGCGTTGTGTGAAATTTACAGATTAACTCCGAACGCTTTCAGGGTTTTGTGGTGATGAACCCCTCTCAGGTAAAAGTTGGGGAGTGAAGATGTTTAAAGCCATATTTAATGTCTCATGGGGAAAAGGAATATCCCTTTGCTTAGGGCACCAGGAGTAGAATCGTAGCCTTATCTGAGAACAGCGCATCAGTCCTGGGGGTGCAGACCTGATATGGTGGCTTCACTTGCTGTGATGAGCCCTGAAAGTCACGAGATCTTGGTTGCAGATTCTAGAGTTTGAACAGAATTGAGATGTGTGGGGAAGCTGGGAACAGGGGATAAGGCAGCACTCTGGGGGAGTACCTGCGTGGATTGTCTTCATGTAATTGAGTGGCATATGAAATGGCCGTTTTTCCTTCAGAATTTTTTTGTAGAGTTAAAGTTTTTATTTTCAAATGAATGTCGAATGAATAGTGCATAGCCGTGAGCCACATACTTCTGTGCTGTAGCACGTGTCGGTCTTTAGCGAGCCTCATAACCAGTTAAATAGTCGTGGCTTATCACATTCGTATTTCAGGTTTTCTTCCCCTCGGATCTCAGCCTGCGGATGCCTGGCATGAATTCAGAGGACTATGTTTTTGACAGTGTTTCTGGGTAATAGTTGTCTTTTAATTTGATTTTTAACTTTCAGCTCTTATGACTTTTTGTGTTAATCTGATGTTGGAAAATCAGAGGTGGCTTTGGTGGTATTATCTTCGCTAGAGGGACATTCGCTTTAGTGCATTTAATTTTGAACTCTGTACTATGTTTCATGTTTCCTTAATTCTTGGTGTTGGTGCTTTTTCTTTCCCTCAGCTTCTTTATGTGATGGTGGTAGAATGGAATCTAAAAGAAGAGATGAGGGGATTCAATCAGATCTCTGAGCTCCCTTCCGTTTCCAAGAACATATAATTCTGTGAGAATTCAGGAATAACATCAAGTGGTTAAAGGCTTTTATTTTGTATTAGCCTCACTTGTAGTGAAATAAATGAAGTCAGCTTTTTTCTGACCTGACAACCTCTTCATTTAAAACCTCAAAATTGTACTTCATGCCGGCATATGAGTATCTTCCAAGTTAATTAGGAAAATGTACAAACACCTTCGGATGTTTTTTAAAAGCATTTAGGATTTCATTTTATAATTTAGTCTTACGCATTTTTTGTATGTTGTGCTTTGAAGTAAAACCAGGTTTTTTTTGTTTGTTTGTTTTGTTTTGTTTTTTTTTTTTTAAGTCTAGGATTTGATGGGAATTGAGACTTCCCTTAAAGACCTGCCTTAAGGTACAGGAGTCACAAACTCAGATACCTGTAGGATCTAAGATAGGGGTCAGCAAACCTTTTCTGTAAAGGATCAGATAGTACATATTGAAGCTTTTTGAGCCTTACAGGCTCTGTTGGAACTGCCCAGCTCGCTACTGCAGCACAGAAGCAGCTGTAGACTACGCACGAAGAAGGGTGCGGTTGTGTTCCAATAAAACTTTATTTACAAAAATAGGTGTAATTCTCGAGCTCTGGTCTAGGAAGGTTATTGACTCAAGGGAGATATATACATGTTACTTTAAGTGATAGTGAATGTAGAGAATTGTGCAGTGCCCATCACAAAACATTGAAATTCCAAGCAAAAACCTCAAAAAGAGTGCTGTGCAAACCAAATCGAATTTAATCAGAGACCTACTGGGCCACCTGTTTGCAGCCCTTGCTGAGTAAATACCAAATTGGAAGCATGTCTTGTGAGATTTCCTTCCAAAGTCCTTTTCAGCTGCTAGTATCTTTAATACCCTTAGCTTCTAAACTTCTAATTTTTAACCTTTTTACTTCAGAGAATTTCTAGTAGGCATTTTGTAGCCCCGCATATGAGAGATTTGAGAATATCTGTGTTGCTTTAGCTTATATTTATTGTGCCAGAAGTAGCACATGCGGTTTATAATATGACCTAGTCAGTTGGATGTTTGCTGGTAGGTGGCTATTTGCATACATCCACACTGAAGCATTTCAGAGATCACGCTGACCTATAGAGAGCTTCTGAAAGAGTGGGTTAGAGAGCTGTGGCTCTTTTTTTGTTCTTTAGGAACAACTTTGAATATACCCTAGAAGCCTCAAAATCACTTCGACAGAAGCCAGGAGATAGCACCATGACCTACCTGAACAAAGGACAGTTCTACCCTGTCACCTTGAAGGAGGTGAGCGGCAGCGAGGGGATCCACCGGCCCATCAGCAAAGTCCGGGTACGTTCTGCTCTTGGATCTGTTCTCCAGGAAAGCTCGTCAGAGCTTTCATTTAGATCTAAATGAAGTTCTAAAATGGCAGTATACAGCCTTAACTGTAAAATAGAACACTAAGTAAGATTTCCAGAAGATACTCACCCTTTAGCGTCTTTATATCATAATCCATTCTCTTTCTTAGAGTGTGATCATGGTGGTTTTTGCAGAAGACAAAAGCAGAGAAGATCAGTTAAGGCACTGGAAATACTGGCACTCACGGCAGCACACGGCCAAACAAAGGTGCATTGACATAGGTGAGGAGCTCTGGAGCCTGCTTTTATTCCCAGAGGTGTAAGCATCCAGTTTTCTAGTTCCAGTTATTTTTGGCAGCGATCAGCTTCCTGCCGAAAGCATTTGAATTTTTATGCCAGCTTCTGATCTGTTCCAAACCCTGTTCTCGGCCTCCTGGAATCAGTGTTCTTCACTTTACTTCCTTCATAAGGACATGTGGCCTGTGCAGTGCTGGCTCTCCAGATGACTCTGGACCAGAAGCTCTAGAGCTGGCTTGCATAAGAGGGCCCTGCTCTTTGGTCTGCAAAGTTTTTGAGGTGGAATGTCTTCTTTAAGAGATACTGATTGTTTGTAGATGATGGTGAAGTAGAGAAAAAACCCTAAATAAACAAGCAGAAGCAAATACTGCTGGCGGGCACTTACCTAAACTATCTCCCCTGGCTACCTGATGAGCTGTACTGCTAGACTCTTCTGTCTTCCAAGAGACCCAGGGATGTAGCCGCTGGGCTGTGGCGGCAGACCTGGGCAAACCCGCGTTTAATGCAGCGGCTTCATGAGAAGGGCTCTTCTTGCCATGTAGAGAATTTTGGTACAGAACCGTCGTCTGTATCACAAGATGGCCCTTAATCTCAGTGTTACTTCTTTTGTCTTTTGTAAAGTTCATGTTCTCTTTTCAAAAAAATTTAAAAGAGCTGAGTTCTCATCTTGGTTCTCTGAGCTAGTTTTGTGACCTTGGGACAATTAATGTAACCTTTTAGTCCTAAATATCTTAATTTTGACATAATGGGGAAAAATTAGGTCTAAGCTTACCTGTATTTTAAAAATCTTGTGATTCTTATTTTCATCTTTTTGAACTTTTTTCAATCCAACAATATGTTCATATAAGTTTTTCAGAGGCAATAATATGGAAAACGTTGGAACCAGAAATCACGATTTCCCTTTCTTTTTCATCACTCATGTAGCTGATTATAAAGAAAGCTTCAACACCATCAGTAACATTGAGGAGATTGCATATAATGCCATTTCCTTCACTTGGGACATTAATGATGAAGCAAAGGTAGGTAACCGAGTCCCGGGGCTCCTCCGCTTCCAGCTTTGGGAGGGAAAGTGGGAGGAGCTTAATGATTTGGCAACTGATTTTTTTTTTTGGTGGTTTTGCATGTTTTGTTCTTTCGCTAAGGAGTAGTGAGAATGAACTCGGTAAGAGGATAGGTGAGAGCCATTAAGTCATGAGGTGCGTGAAAATGAGACAAGACTTTGGGAGAAGAAACAGCTCTTGTCTCATCAGCTATGCCCTTCCTTCTGACCTAGCAGAGTCAGCTGGATTCTCGACTTTCTCTCTTAAGTGCAGCTTCTTCCAGAGGTTACAAAACTGTCCTTGTCCCTCTCTTTCCTCCAAAAAGGACAGTTTTTGTCGACCTCCTCCTGCACGTGTGGTGCAGTGCGTGAGCCTGCAGAGTGGCAGGGGGCGGGGGAGTCAGGGCACCTGACGCCCCATTCCCTGTGCTCCTTTTCCTTATTTGCAGAGTGGCATTAATACCTCCTTCCTCCCTCCTGCGGGCCTGGTATGTGGATTATTGAAACAATTGCCCAGGAAGCTATTGGAGTTTCTTCAGAAAGTCTCTTAAATACAAGTTCTTGTTAGCAGTACTGTCCTGCCGTTACTTTCACGTTCAGCTAGAGGAAGGGTCTTCTCTCTGGCACTTTTCCTCATGAAGAGTTGCCTCCAATTCATGTGATCATTTGGATCATTCTAGTTGGAGTGTTTGGTCCCTGCCAGAAAAATTCAGCATGTCCTTGAGTCATTTCTGCCCCTCCCACAGCATTCTTTTAGTATAATCCCTCTTTCGTGGAATTACAGGGGTTTTGTAGGTAGTTTTTCCTTTGGGTTACTTAAAAACTCGGGAGCTCAGGCCTCACAGGGAGACGGTCCTCCCTTGTGGGCGGTTGGCGCGGAGCTGACGCTGGGTACCGTCGCAGACTTGCCATGTGCATTGCGCTGCCCTTTGTCGGGCCAGGTGCAAAGCCACAACCACCTTCCTGTCCTTCTTGACCTTGAGAATTTCTTCTTTTACTTATTCAATAGGAAGCTTAGCAATGACGGATAAGACAGCATTAGGTATTAATTATTGCATAACTTCATTTTTTACTGCCTACAGTTGCTTTAAAAAAAAAATCCTATGACTGGATTCTTGCGAACCGTGTGAACTTTGTGGCATCGTTGCTCTCTTTTCTTCCTGGGGGCGTCCTGTCTAAGGCAAAAGTGTGTCTTCATTGGAGGGCGTGGTGGGTTGGGTCTGCCAGTGTGAGGAAGTGGGGGTTACTATGGTCGCATGAGGGGCTTCTTGGCGACCCCCTTGGTCCTACACAGGTGTCCTCAGGGTGCGTTGTCCACAGTCTGGCGCTTGAGTAACCCGGGAATTCTCTATAGAAGAGTTGTTAGGAAGAAAAGGAAACTTCATTTTATGTAATTGTTGCTACAATTACTTTGAAATTAAATCTCAAGGTAGGACTCAGCAGCCTATAAGAACAGTGGGCCCTGTGCCCTCCGAGAGCTTCTGTTCTTAAAGCAAAATAGAGATAGACTTCCTGTTTGCCATTAGGGACTAACTGAGAAATTGTGGAGGTGGTGATCGGGTGAGTCCACTTTTCTGATTTACCTGTGACCTTGGGTTTAGTCCCTTAGTTCACTAGCTCGGTTTTCTCCCCTTTCCCCCCCTAGGAAAATAAAAAGTCTGTGGTGGCCAACTCTCTTTCTCACTGGCACGTCATCAAGGTTAATAAGCACTTGTCAGAGTGCCTGGGGATCTGGGTGGAAAGGCCCAGCATATGGGCGGGGTGCCCTGGTTGTCTGACGTGTCACTCTTGTGGGGGTAACGAAAGCCCAGCTGACGGGTCAGGATAATGGCTGCTTTCATTCTGACGACCTTTAGCATGTTTGTAGTAAAGAGAAGTGTTGTTGGGGTGTCTTAAGCAGCCTTAGTAGCTGCTTGTTCATGGATGGAGGTAAATTCAGTTTTCATTTCCCCTTCCAGACCCTCAACACCTACTTGGTTTTTAAGCCTTTGCCTGCTACCGGAAAGAGTTTGTGCCATTTCTTAATGAGGCTATTGCCTTTTGATGCTGATATCAGGCATCAGCTTCAGGCATGTGTTGGAATTCAGTGTCCAGATTCTTGGCTTTCCCTGGCCAAATGGATGTTTTCTGTTTTTACACTTAAAGTAATTGATGCCCCAGGGCAGCTAGAGTGAACGAGTATGCGTGCAGAATCTTGTATAGATTTTTTTGATTTTTGATTCTTTTTCAAAAGTATCCACTTTCGTTGCCCACTTTTCTTGTTCTCATTTAGAATATATTTGTTGTTCATTCTCTCCCATAAACGTAAGAGTTGATGTGTGCCATTCCCCTGCTCCCCAACACACTTTAGAAACAAATCTAATATCTCCTTCTGGCCATGCCAGGATGAGTAAAACCAGACTTCTGGCCCTGTGTTGACATCTGAGTTTTCCCGTAGCTTCTGCAGCTCGCTTTGGGGGTGACTGTATTTTGAGGACATAGGAATCCCGAACACCAGGGCTTATGTTCCAGTTTGGAAAGAACACTGCCCAAACTGGACTCATCGTACCCACTCCCATCATATTGTCATATACTTGTGTTATCATATACCTGCTATTCCTGTAGGAACTCGAAGACATTGTGGAGGTTGTAAAAAAAATGATGAGTTTTCAAAATGGCAAGGAGGAGGAAGCGACTCTGAAAAGCCGAGGTAGCTTAGGAACAGCCCCCCAGGTGGCCCTCACCTCTCCGTGCAGACCTGTTTCAGCTGGTTTTCCTGTCTTCCACACAAAGTTAGATTTGTCTGGGTAGCCAGGCTTCTTTTAAAGAGGCAGAAATCTCTGGACAAGTGCAGGTTCATCAGACACTCGTCTTCCCTCGTGGAATACATTTATGATCAGATTTCTTCCCTTCAGATGTACAGCTGATCGCAGGTGATTTTGGCAGGGAGGAGCCTCCGCCTTAGAAACCTTAAAAGTGGAGCTCTGGTGAGGGGCTGCAGTTGAGAATCCGGGAGTTCTGAGGGCATCAGTCACATGGAAGAGGGCGGGGAAGTGAGAAGGGCACATGAGGAAGGTCGGGGAAGGTGTGTGCCTTCTGGGGCTGGGTAGAGATTTTGTCCAGAGCCCGCTGTGCACATCCCCCACCCCGGGGATTCGTGAGGCAGTGAACAGCTACCGTCCGCCAGGACCAAGGTGCTGTGCTCAGTCCAGGCTGTGACCCTGGTATTGTCATTCAGGTACATTGGCGGTACTATGGGCTTTTGCGGGAGAGTTTGAGATCCTAAATATAACATCACAGAAAGGGTGTTTACGCCACTTTGCAGATGAATTTTGGAGACACTGCTAATTTATAAATTGGGACTGTCTGTCCTGTTCCAGTAACAGTATTTCTAGAACCCAATGGTTAATTCTGGATAGGCTGCACATCTTGGCCTCGAGTTTTATTTCTTTTTTTTTTTTTTTTTTTTAATTTTTATTGAGAGAGAATGAGTGAGAAAGCACGAGAGAGGAGAACGTCAGAGGGAGAAGCAGACTCCCCAAGGAGCTGGGAGCCCGATGCGGGACTCGATCCCAGAAATCCGGGATCATGACCTGAGCCGAAGACAGTCGCTCAACCAACTGAGCCACCCAGGCGCCCTAGAGTTTTATTTCTTGCTGGAATTATAAATGAAGGGTTTACAACAGTGTTGAGATTTGGTTTGTGATAGGAAGTAAGGACCTCTCAAAGCCTGAAGATCTAGAATAAATAGAGGAAACAGAAGTTAGGGAGAGAGAATTAACTTCCTTTAATGCCTGTTTAATGCTAGGCACTGTGCTAAGGGCCCTTTTCCGTGTTCACACATAACGAGGTAGTGCTGCCTGCTCAGTACGCAGAAAAAAGCACTTAGTCCCCTAGATGAGTACGTGTTTGCTACGTGGTCATCACAGTGAGGCTTCCGAGGAGGCAAGAATCTAGATCTTGAAATGGACAGAGGCGTTTTGGACAGGGGGGAGTATTTAAAATTCTAGTGGCTCCCAGCTGGCTCAGTCAGTGGAGCCTACAACTCTTATATTGGGTGGAGAGTTCAAGCCCCAGTGTTGGGGTATAGAGATCACATTAAAAAAATAAAATCTTTAAAAGTGCGATAATTCTTGTTAATAGAGTAGCTTTATGGCCTCACTGTTCCCTTAGTAGACGAGCACTTTGCTAACAGGAAATAATTTATGTTGATTGTTAGTAAGTGATGTTTAACTAAAGAGAAATATAAATTATAGCTGTGTTGGAATCAGGTGAAAACTGGGCCAGCCAGCTTTGAGGGAGCCCCTGGATTCAGGGGACCGCTAACAGGAAGGGATCTCTGTTGATGGACCGGGAACACACTGAGTTATAATTGCCTAGACAGTTTGGCAACAGGAAAAGAGCTACGGTCCAAAGCCAAGCTCAGGTTTTCTTTGATCACCTATATGTAGCTGTGACGCCCATGAATATTAAGCAGATCTTTCTATTTTTAAAGATTTTCTTTAGAGAGTGCACGTGCACGCCTGTGTGGGTGCGCCTGCGTGTGAGGAGGTGAGGGGGTAGGAGGGGGAGAGAGAATCCAAAACAGGCTCGGTCCTGAGCACAGAGCCAGATGTAGGCTGGATCTCACGACTTTGAGATCATGACCTGAACCAAAATCAAGAGTCAGACTCTTAACTGACTGAGCCACCCAGGTGTCCCAAATTTTAAGCAAACCCTTTAAAAATGTTGTGGACCCCAGGGATACAAAACATGTAACAGATTTGTTCCGATAGTGACTTGTACATTTTTTCTTTTTTTTTAATTAATTTTTAAATTTTTTAATAAACGTATAATGTATTTTTATCCCGAGAGGTACAGGTCTGTGAATCGTCAGGTTTACACATCTCACAGCACTCACCATAGCACACACCCTCCCCAGTGTCCGTAACCCCACCCCCCTCTCCTGACCCCCCTCCCCCCGTGACTTGTACATTTTTACACCAGAAGCTGCGTTGTGGT